TCTTTCTTTCTTTCTCCCCCCTCCCCCCTCCCCCTAGGAAAAACCGTCTATCCCTGCTCCATTCCTGTATCTAATTACAGTTGTGTACACAGGGAGGAAAACAATCACAGAAGTGCTCCAAAATGGCAGCACGTTAAAGGTCACAGGTCACAGATCCAGGAAAAGACAACTGAGATTATTTGAACATTTTGTAGAGCAATTAACTTGAGAAATTGGTACTGTGTGGAAGAGGGAATTAGAAGATGGAGAACAACATTCACAAATGGCTTGGGCAGCTTTGTGATAAACATCCTAATCAGAAAAAACCCTGAGATGATCAGGGGGACTGATAACAGAAGAAATGGGGTACTATGATCGTCAATGTCTGCCCCAGACCTTACACCCAAAGAAGAAGACACAATTATGATTCAAGGCCTGATCTGAAGACTGCCTTTTTCTGACAAACATGTATTGTCCCAAACTGGGTAAAGTGATATTGTAGAGATCTCGTGGTCTTGATTTGTTATTTGGTAAGTACATTGCTTACAACTGTATAAGATCATATGAGAGCGCGGGACACATGAAACATGTTCAGTTTGGTAGGAATGTTGATTTTTGCCCAGGTGGTGGCCGAAGCCTACTCCAAGGCGACCACTAAGGGATCTTTAACGCAGGCAACTTGGACACTGGATCTTCGAGTTTTTTGCCCTTAACCAAAAAGGCTTGGTATTAGATCTTATCTACCATAAGAACAGGGGTGCGATTTAAAGACAGCAGTAAGAAGGAACCAAGTAGTAGCAGTAGAAAGGCTGCAGAAAGAGTCAAGGGCCCAGAGGAGGGAGCAAAGGGGGTGGGTGTGGGGGCAAAACGAGGAGACGAAAGCAGACGACAGAACGTGGTTAGAGCGCAGGAAAAGGAGGTGAAAGGATATACTTTTAGAGAAGAATATCTTCTGTCGCTGTCAGGTTTCGAACCTGGGACCTATTGAATGAGAGGCGAACACCTTCACCTCTCGACCACGAGAGCTCCCTTTCGTGGTCTGTGAGTTGGTTTCTTCTTTTAGTTTAGTTGTATGTACAGGGCGACCAGAAAAAAAAATTGTTGATAAATCTGCTGAGAAGAAAAGTACAAATACCCGAGTTTGCTAAAGAATGTGGGACTTCCATCCTAATTTATTATGTTAAAATTACAACAGGCCCCTGCACTCTGAGAGTTAGAGAAGTGGAACCAAAGAAAGTTACATATGTTTTAGTAAGGCACAATCTGACACACTGAGTGATATTGACAATCATGCGTTTTAGACTGATCAGGGAAAATCTCTCTCGTTCCCTCCGTGAAGCTTCTCTCAAGTCCTACATATTTTCGAATGTTTTTCCACACACTTTGTCCTTCCAGCACCCCGAAAGGTGAAAAAACTAGTGGACTCGAATCAGTTTGGGGTACATTTGGGCTCAGTTCCACGATTCGATTGACTGTCCTGTTACCAAAATGGTTGCTGATCAAGCGCAGAAAGTTATGGAGACATGAGGAACAACCCCATCTTGCTAAAAGTTCTGGTTCTGATTCTGTTTTCCTTTATTCCCCAAGATAGTTTAAGACTTCTCAAGAACTTTTGATACGATTACGAGCTGTCGGCCAGAGCTCACTGTAAAGGGGTGCTGATGTTCATAGGGAAAGAAAAAAAGGCCACGTGATGCCCTGGTTGCTCTTCGCTGCCCACACTATATTCTTCTGAATACCCCGGCCTTTATCGTACAGTTTGTCGGGATTTGCTGATCCCCTATAAAGATAGTTTTTAGTATTCACACAGTCTTTGGTGTAGAAATAGGCGTCATCAGAGAACCAGAGCCGTTGGATAAAAGTTTCATTGAATGTGAATTGTGGGAAATTAAATAAATCGACGCTGAACGCAATAACAAGACAAGACAGACAACTGATGTGGTTGTAAGTTGTGCTCTTCCACAAACTGGGATCGGTAAAACTGTCATGTTAGAAGATAAAATAGGTAACAGATGTTCAGACAAAACTTTCTGAGAAAAAGTCCCGAAGTTTTGCTGTAATGTTAATTAGATCCATAGACTTGTATCTCAATTTCCTGGATCGTGGAATCTGGCCTATTTCCAGTACAGTAAGGACAGTACTTTTTCCACTAAATTTGGAGTCAAACGAAGGGCAAGGCGGGAAAACTGCCGTGTGCACTCGACAAAAGTGAGACACGTTTCGCCCTTCATTTGATCACAATGGCTCTACCCAAGGTGCGCACTTAATTGTCGCAGCGAAATTCTTTTTAAATGAAGAGCGAAGAGCAGCGTCATGACCGTGCGCGATCTAGGGATACAGGTCAATGGTTAAGTCAAATGTTTCTGCGAGCCTTCTTTCTCTTCTGTTAAGAGTCCAAACAAAAATTAGACCAATGTTTGCTGCCACGAATAAACGATGATGTCTCAGACGATGTAATTAGCGATAATGATCAGGACCTGAAGAGCCTTTTAGTATCTTCTGCAATTACTGGTGCGGTTCCGTTGCTGTTGCTGTTATTATTGCATTACAGCTGCCCCCTCTGATCGTGCTAAAAACGATGATAATGATCCTTATTATGAAATGCGTTATTTACCTCGTGTCTACTTTGTTCCCCCAATAAACGCCCCTTCAGCCTTTCCATAGGGGTCGGACATATCCCTCAGTCCCACCCCCTCCACCACAACGGGACGACCAAACTTTGAAGCTTAATCGTTTTCTGTGTCCCTCGATTATCAAAGACATGCTAAAAAATGACTTGGGGATGGCTTCTAAAAAATAATAGTGCTAGTGTACAGGCTCCTAAACTATGCTAAAAGATTTGACATGCAAAGTGTTCTCGTGTGTAACCCCTTATAAACTCAAGGTGTAATTTTGTTTTTCTAGCAATACTTGTATTTCTAAACACCTACTGGAAACAAAGTACAAAGCGAAAGAATGGTTTAGTGTAAACGCATTTGAATCACCTTCGTAATATTCTGTTCTTATTTTTTCTTCGGATCTAAAAAAATGAACCCTTTGTAATGCCAATTAATTTATGACTCTTATTGTAACATGTCCGGGGCTTAAGGCTCAGAACAAAGAGCCAAGACAGGCGCCTGTGCTTTAAGAGTTAGAGAAGTGGAACCAAAACCGCCACACAGAAAGTAAGTGTTCTTTCTTGTTTAGCCGCAATCACATACGTACCTCCTTTTTCCCTACGACAATTGGCGAGGACCCTGCTCAAAATGTACTATAGGGCCCCTAAAGACTTGCTTGACCAGTCGTCCCGTTGCCCACAGTAACTCCTGGACAATATTGGTATAACGAATGCTTATAGTGACCGGTGGTCAGTGGCTTCGGTCATTCCTTCGTTTGGCCAGCCACTGAAGATCAAGTGTGTGTTTCGTCGCTCTCATAAACTTGTTGGAAGCACACTTAAACTTCGAAAATGGCAGAACTTGATCTTGTCAACCGTGATCCCAACAACATCAATGACCATCTCAAGGTAAGATGTGAATACTAGCATTATAACTCTCGGTGTCTCACCTAAAGCGTTGAAATATGTTCAAAGTTGTATAGGTTGAACGCCCTTTGCAAAACTCTTAGGCTATTTAAAAAGTAGGACCTCCGAATTTAACATCCATCTCCGATAAGATCAGGCACAACGAGAAAATTCAGAAAAAATACCTTTCTCATGAAAACAACGTCAGGCCGAGCTGAACTTCGATCCTCTAACCCCGTAATCTCACGATTGGTAGCCTAACCACTAGACTACTGACACCAGCTAAAAATGTATAAGGGCAAGTCCTCTGTTTATGACTTCTGTCTAGAAATTAATATTTGTTATCCACACCTTTTACGCCCCATTCGTCCCCAAATTACACCTGCCCTTAGTAACAAAGGAGGGGCTCTTTCTTCATCTCTGACGAGCTCAATTATATTTACTTATTTCAATTTGTCTACGGACTACATGGTTCTTGACACAATTTTTATATGCTATCGTATAAAGCTGATGAGTTCTTCAACAAATTTCCCCTCTCACCTCTAATAGCAAGTTCACAAACACAAACGCGCATTATCTACTTTTTCGTCGTAAACTACGAAAGAAGGAAAGGTTTATGCTCTCCAAGAGAAATGAAGACAGCGACAATATTAAGTAAATTGATTTATGAATCCATTTATTTATTACTTGGGTCCAATTGTACAATCCAGCGTGCACATTTTCGTTTTCAATGAGGCCAAAGCGATTTTGGAATATACATGCAAGTGCCGTGTTGGATGGTGAGGTAAAAGAATGTTGAGTTACAGCCTGACAAAGAGAGGCGACAAGAACATGGCAGCAATAACTTAATGATAACCGTACATCAGTGTGCGCACAGTAAACTGTCATCTACTACACATTGATGTTAATGGATTTTCAAGCACAGCATTAACACCAGAGACACAAGTTGAGGAGCTATTACAGCATTATGTTGGAGACTGTACCGTTTTAGTGATCAGTTTGAAAAGAATTGAGTACAACGTGTATGTTTTAATGACTTCGAAGGTTACACCAACAAAACATAATACCTTATATCACGATACTATACAGATTATATGACGCAATGCCCTATTTTATTATTGGGGGGGGGGGGGTAGAGCTGGAGACAAACATGTCTTGAACCGCCCCCACCCCTTTCATCTCCCCCACCTCGTATACTGAAAACATCGGCTCTGTGCCGAGATCAACACGGCCTGCTCTCGAAACGTTTGATAGTCCTTGACTTATGAGGTTCTTTTTTCAAAATAATGAGATGAGTCGAAGACATCTAGATCTAGTTCCCATAAAACCATGCAAAATAATGTCAAAAATTAATACTTAGCTTTCAAATATTCAGTACAAGGTTTTAAAAAATCCACTTTACCCATAGAGCTTTTAATGATGCTGCAAACGTGATTTCTCGATTATGATGCAAATAAATCGGTCTTATCGTCACTTTTGGTTTTGTAAACTCTTTTTAGCTCCGCGGAGATTTGAAAGGCGCACTTATTTATTGCGCAGTGTGTCTGTAGTCGTTCTTCGTGCTGCGCAGTGCGCGTCTGTAGCCTATCTATCATTCTACAGTTACATGACGGTATGAAAAGATGTAACATGAAAACAGAAAGTGTCTTTTCTACTTTGAGCCCCACACAGTAAGCTGGATGTTCTATGGTTTTACCTTGTGCTGATTTCAACAGAAGAAAAAAGAAAAGTTATATTATACTTTATACCGTACCACGACTCAGTCTAACAGACAGGAAATTATAGTAAGATTGGTCTCTCTGACAACTAAACATAACTTTTTACAAGTATCCTTCGTTGCAACAGAAAAACGCCTACTGGTCTCCTCTTTGCTAAGTTCAAATATAACAGTAACAGCGAATTCCTGTAGTCGTGCTAAATATTTTAAAGGCTAAGTTTGTTCAGGTCATATTCAATGCTTTGAAAGACTAGCGAAATGCGTTGGTGCCAGATTAAAACAAGTAAAACCGACATAAACTTTAAAAAAAGCCTGGAGTTTTCGATCAATGGCCATACCAGAAAGTTTTTATCTTTTTAAGCAGCTCATCATCACTGGTAGGAAACTAAACATAGTGAGACTAAGATAAGCCTCTCTGTCCCTTTAGTATACATGCAGGGATTGCCCCCCAGGTCCATGCTCAACGTCATATTTTGTTTGTTCTAGGTCACCTTCGAAGATGTGCTGGCTGAACCCGAGGGCAACCATGCCATGGACTGCGTGTGGAGCAACTCTTACAAATGCTTCAACTGCTGCAAGAAACTGTGCTACACCCTGATGACCCTGTGCTGTGGCATCTGCATCGCCGCTGGCTGGGGCTGTGAGTTCGCCTACATCGCCTTTGTCCACATCTGGTACGTCACGCCATGCTTCAAGTGCTTGGAGCTCAACTGCGGATGTCTGCAGAAGCTGTGGGGAATGATTATCCATTGCTACTACGATCCTATCTTTGAGGCCTGCGCTCTGTGCTTCTCAGCCTTCAAGAAGGGCTAAACCCAGCGGGAATGAGGAGCACACTTATGCGTGCATAGAAATGTCATGCACGGGCGCATACAGAGATGCCGGCGTTTCGAGGACAAGGAATGGCGGATTGTTTTACCTTGTTGCCGTGTTTCGACTCATAACTCATTCTTATCCGTGTTTTTTAAAGGATGCAGATCTCTATATTGCTTTGCAATACGCACCCGAAGAGGATTACAGCAAGGAAATTAATCCGCAAAAAATAATATCCAAATTCACAAAAGAACTCTTTCAATTTTGGCAAAATCTTTTGGCTATCTGATCAGACTAACGTTGTCTCATGAGAAATATTTGTACAACACTCAATTATTCCGAAATTCTGAAGTATATAATTTATTTATCAAATAAAAGTATTCGCTATGTACTATAAGTCTTGTACATTTGCCTCTGTTTATTATTAAAAACATATATTATTGTTATAACATGATGTAAATAGAGCCTTTGTACATAAATGACTTACTCTGTCCTTTTGTTTGTTGAAGTGGAGTGAAAAATAAACAATATCGGGACTACAGTCTTTAAACACACTTCTCTTTAGAAGCTGTCAAAACTACCTTATAAGGAGAAAGACGCTTCACGCTATTCAAAACTCATCTTGTCTCAATGTATTCGTATTAGCACATTTCTGGTAATATCAACTTGGTTTGACAACCACTTGCTGAGCTCTTTGAAAACTGCTCTCTTTTCAAACCTTTTTTCTGATCCGATTTATTAAATATCGTAATTGTAGACGTTTTACGCATCCATCGACACAATTTAGATAATTTAGGAGACTGGTTGCTTCGACTGTACTGAACGTTTAGTTTGGTGGTCAAATTCGAAACAACGGCACACTAATGGTGCGTTTGAATGTCTCTGATTAAAACATGTTTTAGAAATATCTATTTTTGAGTTTAGGAGTAATGTAGCTGATTTGATAGCAGTTTATGTAAGCCAGGTCATTTGTTTTTCAAAAAGTTCACTACTCTGAAAACCTTTGGATTGTGCTCCTTCAATGGTATTTTTTTTAGATGATACCAAAGAGATTCTAGACAATAAACGAACCACATCGAACGGACGGGACAGTCATGAGCCAGTCAATACTGTTAGAGTTTTGAATTTCTTTCAAAATGTAGATTTTTTACGCCTCTATCGACACAATTTACATCATTTAGGAGGTGGGCTTCAACCGTGTCTGTCATGGTCACTCAGGCTGAGAGGAATACAACATCCCATCAGAACAACTTAACTACACGATAAAAGTTCTCCCCATACAGGAATCGAACTCAGGTGTTCTGCACGCAACGCCGAAATGCCTAATCACTGTACTACGAGCACCGGTTACTACGTGCCCATACTCTTTACCTAGTATATTCTTATTGGGGAAATCTGGAGACAATAAAGATGGCAGCCCAGATGAAGGAAAATGGAAAATTTTACCGATGTGTAAGTAAACATTTTGGCAATGAAGTAGGTCCACACAGATGAGATAAAAGCTTGAAGTGAAAACGTATGTTTCATTGTGGGAGGTAAATGAGAATTTATACAACTGGAAAAAGCATCATCATCGCAACTAAAACACCAGAGCGCTCAGCGCTAATTCTCTATAATCCGAAATGGATGTGGAGCAAGGTTATTTACAAATAACCTTTAGCAAAGGAACATTGTGGAAAATAATACTTCCACAAAAACACGCAAGGATAAAAATTAGATACAAGACAAAGGAATGACTTTGTATAACGCCCGGCCCTACTGCAAAGTAGGCTCTGGGCGCTGTAAATGTATCATTCCCCCTTCATATCCCGTAACATTCAGAAAGATTCTCTGCTTCCTGGGAAGCATGTAGTGCATGCAGTCGTTATAAGGGCACTCAAAGGCCAATTTACAGCCAACGTCTTTTAGCATCTTATCTGAGTACCCATTTTCACCACTGTAAAATAAGGAAATTTGTGTTGTTTTTTTCCAGGGACATAGCACTGTGCACAGACCGGGATTCGAATGTGTGTCTCTCTGGCTGCAAATCTTGCAACCGAACCATTTTGCTACAAACATTACACAAGGAATCTATCTTCTTCTCCTCCTCCTCCTCCTCCTAGTTCCTCCTCCTCCTCCTCCTCCTCCTCCTCCTCCTCCTC